CTGCTGTCCTGCAACAAAGAAAGTAGTCATTTATTGTGACACAGTTGTCTCATATGCCTTCCTTACAGAACAAATTGGGTAAAGGAATAGTTACCAGATCCAGACTACACAGTGCTACAGCCCAGAACACAGCTACTTTCATACTCACCACCGTGAGAACCTCAAATTCTGAGAAAAGTTTCCACTTGTGATAGATTTGTCGTTCTGGGTTGCGACCTCATGTGGAGTTACAGGTATGAGCCATTGTTTTGGAAGAATATACTACCTCCGTCATCAACCATGACTCATCCTGAATTCATAATTTCTGATGACAGACCATTTTAACTTTTTTGCTGTCACAGAAGCATAGTACCCCACTCTTCTGATCATCCAACCATGCATTTAACTCCCACTGCCAGGTCTATGAAAGGTCTTTTGTGTGCCCCCCCCCCCCCATGACATTCACCCTGAAAATTGCAACCAAATTTTTGTCAAAATGAAAACCTTCAACATTCTGTGTGGTTTATTCCTGTAAGTTAACGTGACAGGAACATATAGTCACCTCATCTGTGGCAAGTGCTGTCGCCAGCTTGTACGAAGCTATGGACAAATTAATTTCTGGTTGTGGATGCAGAATATTTAAAATCCTCAGTTGAAAACTAAATGAAGAATTAGTGTCAACAGCAGATTTATCATCATCATCTCCGTCTTTCAGCACCTACAACAGTAAATGCATAGATAAACATTCAGTTGTTGAATGCTGTTTTATTATTTTCATTTCAAGACAAATGTAGATGCGTTCCATAAATAATTACGGAAATCCTAATCTTTCTATAACCTTCCTTCCACCAAATTAAATTTTATGAATCTTTCTTATGAGAGCAGATATTTCCAAAATGTGCTGCCCTTTACAGGTTCCAGTTCATTTCCATATCTGCATTTGCCTCAAAATTGTTAAATAACACATGAAGGATACCAAAGAGAAATATGTTATCCATGTCCTAATATACAAACTTGAACAAGATGTCGAAGTGAGTCCAAGTGATCAGCTCGTAAGGAAGCATGTAACAGCTCAGATTGTTTGCCACAGCTCGTTCCACGACACTGCACTGTTATTGCGTCGGAACGATGCTCTTCGTACAAGCAAAACATCGCCTCATATTCTTCAGAAATGTGGTAAAGTGTCACGGGATAGAAGTCCTTCTTCTCTTGCTTATCTTCAAGTCCTACTGACAGTGGCTTAAAAAACTCTCGCAGAGCTTCTGAATGCCTTCCCTGCTTTGCAAGAAGAGAACCGTGCAAAAGATGAACCCTGACTTTCATCTGGTTGCTGAGTGGCATTTTCTCCAGTTTAGCTAGACTGAGCAGACATGCTTCTGTATCATTACAGTTGTAGCACGCATAAGCTGCAAGGAAAGTTATGCTTTTACTGTTACAAAGTTTAGCAAAGCTTGATTATAAACATTAACATCACAAAGAAGAAGATATACAAAGTTTTAAAGAGTTCTTTCCGAAGATAAATTAATCCCTTTTATGGCCAGATTTTTTTTCACGGACAGTCGATTTTTTGCATTGTATTAAAATTAAAAGATTATTTAGTTTTTACATAGTTTTTGCATATATTTAATTTTGAATTATTTTAGATTTTAGAATCTTTAATGGGCTTAGAAATTTCTTGAACTTTGGCATGCCATGTGCAGTATTAGCAACATCACATGTTCAAGGTGGGGGTTAAGAAGACATTACGAAGCCCCTAACGTAGAACGTGTTGCTTGGTCAGGGCTACTGCACACATCATGGGGCAGTGAAAGATGTGTATGGAGCAATGCAATGGTAAGTGAGAGAAAACTGAAGAACTCAGAGAGAAACCTTCCCCAGTGCCACCACAAATCACCTGGGATTGAACCCAGGTCTCCATGATAAGAATGTGGGATCTAGCTGTCCAAGTTTGTCCATGAAAGAATATGTTTTCTGCCGTTGTTCATTTTGCGGGTGTGGGACTTGATCTGCCTATTTACTCTTTGTAAGTGTTGTAGGTTATTCCTCTCTAAATCTGAATGTACATACCTTTGATGTAACTCTTTACGGCCCGGAATTTTACGTCAGTATCTTCACACGTTTCCAGGCATTCAATGCACTTTGCATATCGCTCAGTCTGAATTAAACAGAGGCAATAAGCAGCTTTCAATATTTCAAGCACGGTTTCAACATCACATTTTTCCACTGCGCTATCCACCTCATAGAGTATAAATTTGAAACTGCTTACTGCTTCCTTTTTCTTATTTTTAACAGCCAAGCGCACACTTGACACCAAAATGCTTCTCATACTCAGAATAGAAGCAATGATGCTTGTACACTCAATAATGATTTCTCTTTTCACTTTCAGCTCAATCAGAATGTAAATAATGATTATACAGATTTCAAGCAACTGTAAGGATTCTTCTCCGCCAACCTGAATTAGATTATTTGAAACTCTCTTCATAAGAAATAAAACAATGTCTTCTGTGTTACAAAAACTCAAACTTTGGCATGGATCATTGCAGACTTCCAACACTGTAATAATTAATTAATAATTCATTAACAAGTGTTACTGTACAGTGTCAATTTAAATATCCTGAGAATAACTTCACAACAAATGTAGCTTGGACAAAGGTAACCAGAACTTACTTAATTTTAGTAACATTTTGTTCAAATGCTGAATGCAATTCCAGCCATATATACACAATATGAAAATGAAATTCACATTACTCTGAATGAATGAATTTGGGATGTGCAAACAAGTAATCCTAGCACCCTCAACCCTTAACAATCTATTGCCCATACAATGGTTACTGACCCCAAACAACTGACTTCATTGTTCCATTCATAAAGGTCATCACTACATGATTATTATGCTATGCATATATTTCACAGTGACACAAATATTAAAAGTAACTCAAAACTGAACAAATGTCTTGGTTAACATTTTTCATACCTGTCTTGAAACAGCTTACTGCCATCTCCATGCATGTTTCAGTGTGGCTTTTGTCATGGTGGAGACCATTCGGACGATGCCAGCCCCAGTACAGGGAGTTATATACCACATTCAAATAGCACTTCAGCGGGACACTGCGAATATTGTGAAGGCTTTTTATTTGTTGATGAAGTCTTAAGAAATCCTGCATCAGGTCATCCCATGTTCCATAGTCATTAAGGTCCCACCTGAATGACTAAGCAACAGAATTTGAACAAACGTCATGAAACAGAGTACATCGTGAATGATATATTAGTTCATGAATAATGAACTGGAAAGGATACGTAAATGTATCAACCCGGCATTTACCTGCTTGGACTTGTGAAAACCACGAAAATGATATTTGGGCTTACATTTGAAACCGGAGATTCCCGAAAACTTTGGAACTTTTAAAAGTATCAGAACTGCATCAGTAATTATACTAAAATACGTTATAAATTATACCTACCACACTTTTCGAAATCAATATATTATTCTCTATTAAGCAATTGAATACGCATTTATCAATACTGCATACTTCTAGTAATGATTTGGTGGCATTTAATTCTTCACGTAACAGCTGAAAAGTATCTACACATTTATCGTATCTTCCTTTGAAATAATAATCATAAGCCTCTGTTAGACAGTCAGATATACGACGTTCTACCGAACTATCCATTTTACTTTCTTCTATTTACTAGCTTCACTTTACCAATTTAAAGTTGACATATTTCATACTGACCAATGTTGTCAATACGTAATATCTTACGAAAAACATGTGCCATCTGTCCGGCAACGTTCATATTTCTAAATAGCAGACCGGTATCGGCAGCTTTACCGAAAAGAAAATTCACTAACATTCCGCAAGTTGTTTCTGGTCACCCCCACCACCAAAGTTCTTCATAATTGAAAAACCAGTTAACACAGATTCTGTTTCAGTGAGCCCTTCCAAAATGGCAAACACGGTTATACGCACTTACACACGGAAGAAAGCCACCAATAATCATTTCAGGATCAGCACTCACATCCCTGGTATGAACAATTGGTAGATATTTTGTCATCATTATTATTATTTAGCAAATTAATTTTAGGTGAGCTTTCTGGGTCACCTGTACATTTAATGTATATTATCGTTTAATCGCACTTCCAAAATCGTAGTATATATATTCTAATTCAAATAACCATCTTCTTTACTACATTAGTATAATTTAGTGAGATGAGAGTGATAAATGAGAAAAGATGGAAATATATGGAAGAAATGGGTTGTGGATGAAGAGGAATGGATAAACAGGGAGGGAGAAACATTGCCCCTGCATTAAAGCAATGCTAGATGGGAAGAGACGGAAGTAATGAAAGAGACGACTTTCTGTAGAGTAACTTATAATTGAAATCAAACATTTATTAACAATTGAACGTGTTTGTATCTTGCTTTCACTACAGACTTAACCAGTCAAGTGACATTACAGCTTTCAGTTCATCGTACAAAATAATACACATACGTAACTCTTTGTTCAACCCCCCTGTCATGATGAGATACCGTATATGAATGGAAGATTCAGAATTCTACAATTTTTAAAAAGTCATATCTAAAATAGAGAGCAAAGAAAATAATTCCACATTATTATTAAAGCAAGTATTAAATGCATGAAGCTCGGAGAAAGCGAAGACGATAGTTCTTCCGAGACTGCTATTTCTCTCCATTTAATAGGCAGGAATGTTATCCGAAGAAGACGTTGAAAGAGAAACTGCACAGAACTTTCAGCTCTTCTGATACTCATATCTCCCTCACAGAATGAAGCTGTGACAGCCAAAAATAGGCAAAATTTTGAAGATACATAGAAAAGCAACTAGTCCCTAATGTTGTTTTTCCTTTCAACAAGAGATATGGAAGGTAAATTATTTTAAAAAAAATTGTAAAATTGTATTGCTTAAATGAACACTTTGCAGAAAAATTAATGTTCAGATAGAACGAATAAAAATCTGGAAAATTACAAAGAAGAGAGCTAATAGTTCTACATCAGTGGACCAGGGTCCGTGCCAGACAGAGACATGGTCTTTAAGGCATACCATCTTGTTGAAATTAATTTATTTAATGTCAAATGGAGGTAAGAGATCTGTTTCACACTTTGGTGGGATAAAGTCCACAGTATCCCCTCATAACGGGCTGTATGGAACCAACATGATGGTGAAGAGACAGATAATTACCTCTGTCAGGAATCAAACATTGATCATCTGACTTGAGCTGACCTCACCGATTCAATATCGGAATATAATCCTGTCAGCACCGGACATCCGAGTTTCTCCTGACTGCATCATGGGCTATTACATTACAGATCACAGAAAGTTAAAAAAATATATAAATTTAATAAAAAAAAATAGAACTCTAGATCCCGTTAATACAACCTTTATCCAATTTACAAAATACTTTACTTAAATTAAGAGCTATTTTGTAGCATTTCCAGTTCCCAGCCAATCTCTTGGATTCTTTAGGACTTCCAGAAGTTTCCATTCTTTTGAATGAGGACTCGGCATATGCATGTACTCCCATTTCTGAAAATAATTGAAAATGAAACAGTACATGGCCCACGAGAGCAGACCACATGTAAGCTGTGGTGCACAAATCATAAATAATTAAAGATATTTCTCATCTTATCCTGGCAGTAATGACGATGCAGGGATTCTATGTAACTATTTTCATACAGAAAAGAACCAGAATATGAACTATACTGTTACGTAACTAGACCACTGAGCAAAGCATCAATGAAGTATCTAACATTGTCTGGTAACTTACAGCGGTAAGAGGGAGGGACATAAGAATACTCTCGTATCTCGCTCCAGGAGTGTAAAGGCCGAACTTAGTGCCTCTGTCGTATATCAGGTTAAATTCTACGTATCGACCCCTGCGCAACAACTGCCACTGCCGTTCACTGTAGCCATATGGATCATCCTTGTGCTTTTGAACTGAAAAAGAATTACGATGAAGTATTTTAGGGTTCGCTTTGTTAAAGGCGATGCCGCTTCTGTGCTTAGCATTACGCTACTAAGATGTATATGGGGTTTGGAGGGAAACATCCATACATTGTAGACCTGAAAACTAAGTGAAGGTTAGTTAAGTGTTCAGTTCTTCGCCTGCTTCACCCTCAGCGTAGCTGTCCCCATGAACTATTTGACACGAGTCATGGGGGGCTCTACAGCCAGTCTGGATGCAGTGGGAAAGAGAAAAGTCCCTTCCCGTGCTAGGAATCAAACCCCAGAGCCAGTAAGGTAAAAGCAACTGACCCAATGGAATGTACGAGGGAATGACCGATTCAGCGCACGTTCTCACAAAGTTGAACGTCTTCTCTTGTGATGGGGTGTCCAGGTCATCAAAAAAGATGCCTCCAATCCCTCTCCTTTCACCTGGGGTGGAGAAAGAAATTTAATTACAGCAGGCAACATCAGAGTTGCTAGCGTTAATCAATAAAAAATGTATCATATTTCTGTGGTTAATCTGCGTAATACCTCTGTGCTTTACATGGAAGTAATCATCACACCAGGCCTTAAACTTTGGATAATATGTTTTGTCATGTTTATCACACGCTTCCTTCAGTGTGAGATGGAAATATTTGGAATCGTCTTCATCCAAGTAGTAGGGGGTCAGGTCTGTTCCCCCTCCAAACCACCACTGAAACAAAAAAACCAAAGGCTTTATTCATTTACTGGATTATTTGTCAGGGTTATCCAGAATTGATAAAAAATTCTAGGGTGTCTGGTAGCTGCCTACAAGTCCACATGGTGTCAGCACCCCGAAGAACAACATCAAAATCTCCACTGTCATGAAAACCTCAAATCTCAATGATAAACCTACGTTAGTTATATTAGCATTTAAAATTCACGTACCTGCACAGAACCATCTGCATTTTTTACTTCGAAGTAACGGTAATTAAAATGGACGGTAGGAACCATGGGGTTTCGTGGGTGTATTACCGAACTTATGCCAGCGGCAAAGAATGGCAGTGGACCCTCTTGAAGGATTTTACCCCTGTAATGACAGTAGATTATGAGCATACCAGAAGAATTTTAAGAAATTAAAAAAATTAAGAAAAGTAGTTAACGTACAGACACTGATGTTACATTATAAATGCTTTATTAACTGATATGGTTATGAAGTGTTGAATATCAGTACGATTATACGTGACATAGTTCTTCTTTTTAAGGTACTATCCGAGCACAAGCAGGGGAGGACTGCAGAAAATTATGAGAAACTTCAGCAGCTGTAGGTTGATCTTTGGGGTGAGATTCAAATCCACATTGTAGCAGAAATGCTAACCACATGCTCGGTATGATATAATTTCAGTAACAGATTAAGAGACTTCTCACTCTTTGTTAATGCAAATGTTAAAACTCTTAAATCACTGAATAAGAATATTCAGTTTAAGTGCAAGGACCTAGCTCTCATCTGTTGCACTGCAGCGGGAGGCAAGTGTCCCTGAACTACTGAAATGTTCACTCCTGCTTTCTCAAAAGTACGACCATCTTGAATTACACAAGTGATTCCACCTCCGCCTTCGGGGCGCTCCCAGCGGTCAACGTGGAACGTGGTCCCTTCATCCTCCTCAGCTTCTAAGGCATGGCAAACTTCAGCCTACAGGAAGGAACATATTAATTACTGATATTTTCTGACTGGCCACTGTACAGTCGTTAGCTTTGTTTGCTTCTTAGTTAATTTAAGCATCTCTACATGCTTATCACTGATATACTGATACAGACATTTTTGTTGCAGATTCCATGCACATGTATTGAGAGGTAATTTCTGTAAAGAAAAAGTTTCCAAGCAGATGAAGAGCCTGGGAGCTTCTGAACATGAAGTATGATTGTTAACTACTAGGCTGTAATGTTTGGTTTTTTAATGTATTATACAAACATAAAAATAAGCATTTAAGGACTATCTAAGAGCATAATCAAATTTGAACTTAGAATATCACCTGCATTTTCATTATCAGGAGTTCCATTTTTGTTTTCATGTCATTTGGATTCTGTGACAATTTTTTAATATCAGTAATGGGTGCAGCCATAAAGTTCACGGTATCAATCTCAGCCTTGGCCATTTCTGCTTTATATTTTGTGGCTGCGTACGCTGCCATACCAGAGCTCAGAATCGCGGCTCCTATGTGCCTACAAACAAAACAAGATAAGGAAAAGGCTGATTAATAATTCCTTTGGAAAACATGAGGTTATTTCCACAAAGAAACTAGGCCCATATCTTTTGCTCTAACAGAAAATCTCCTCAAGCCTTACAGAAATGCCCCAGAAAGAAAATTTAATTATTGATTATCATGAGCTGAAAGGAAAATTTAAAATGCCTTTTGATTATTAGAAGCTGCTGTGTTTTGAGCTACGTGCTGAGAAAGTAATGAAGTCTTCTTGGGCGATGAGGCACATGAGAATGGTGTCGTGGTCTGATGGCATGAATGCAAATGTATTTATACCCACAGCTGGCACTCTGAGTCCTTGTCTGCAAGCTCTGACAACCAGCTGTGGGTATAGATATGCATGCGGTGGTAGTGTCACATCAACCTGGACGATGAAGGGAGAGGTAGTCTTCAAAATGCTGGACAACTCCATTCTCATACAGCTGATCACCCAGGAAGGCTTAACTGCTTTCAGATGCCATGGAAGGTGAAGTTCTTTACAGGTGTTGAGAAAGCTGAGACTAGTGCTGGTGTATGTGTGTTCCTACACAATTTCTTCAGAAGGTATCTAGCTTCACAAGCGATTACTTCATCATCGGGAACATTCAGTACAGATGAGTTCCAAATACTTAAGAAAATATGCAAATAGTGTATACAGTCAAAGTGAATCATATATGTAAACATTTATTTATTTAACAGGTCATGACAGGGTAGTTTTATCTTCTGGAAGGAAGAGTAGTAGTTCATGTCTATTTATTTTGAGGCCAGTTATTCTGTATTTGCCTGCATGTAAAGAACGAGTTGACATAACTGGAACTATGTTATATTTTGAATTCATGTGGGTTTAAGGTTACAGAAAACAAAATACCAACAGTTTAGGTAAACAATGCAAATAAAATTAGAATTGCTAACCTCAGCCTTGTTCCTTTATTTTTAAAGACATGTCGATATAATGTGACAGAAGATACTGCTTGGAAGCTTTTAATGCAAATATTTTGAAACATGTTTGGAAGTGAGAACGTTCCAGCTATAAATTATCTTTCAATTTTTCTGTTTGTACATAACCAACACACTCCCACGCAAGCACACGTACACCATGCATCTACCTGGGACAAAACAGCTGATATTAGCACAGGGAGTTGGTTTGTATTGATCTGCCAGTGAAAGCCGCAATGCTGAAGGTAATGTATACGGAAGTGAAATCGAGCTTAAAATTGCATAATGTGGTTTTACAGGGAATTTAGTTTATTATATGTTACCATTATGAACATTATATTGCAGTGTAAATATATAAGAAGTAAATTAATTCCGTCTGACATTTCCAGTGACGGCTGCATAATAATTCTTCCAACTTCCTGTGATTACCCACAACTCCTTGCTGCAGTCATATTTGCGGCCGTAGCAGACGAGTTTTGTATCGTGGAATGTGGTGACGGGGCATCGCGGGCTATGAAGCTGCGTTAATTAAATGGAGATCGGTGTTTCTGTGTTTACGAAATGAAGAAGTTCACCTTCAAGGGTGTATTGGATGGATTTCGGTCTTCTGTTGCTCAGCAGGCAAGGGTTGACCAGGAAATAGTGGAAAGTCTAAAGCCTGACAACTTCCAAGTGGCAAAGGTATGGCTAATGTTAAAATGGCGCCATGTTTTGCTAATGCGGTAGTTCATAGAAGTATCTATAAGGGAAGTTAATGTGTAATAAATATAAATATAATTGTGTGGTATATTTTATAAATCGAGTTTCGATTTTAAGAATACGGAAATTGCTACAACTAATGTTGGCATCTTCGCGTTGTGGTATTGCTCAATGTTTTTCATCGAGTCGCATTTGCTTCACTAAGTCACGTCTACAAGTTGTGAATTCAAGGTAGTGAATGTTACAAAATGATCGTCATATTTTGTCGCCCGAAAAGAATGGCAGAGATGACTGTGCTGTTACAGTTTGACAAACAATGAAATGTAGTAGTTGTTATCATAACTTTATCCCATCTGACAACACTTGGCATTAATTTAACGCTGCGAAATATTACGACATCCGTAATGAAGGAAAACGTAATATGTATTGTGAGCATATACGGACAGCTAAAGCGGCACGCCCCTGCCTTACTCATTTAAATGTTAATGAGAATTTGAACTGCGATTAACAATTTGTGCTCTTTATTCCGTTAGAAGTATGCCATGGGGAAGGGGGAGGGGGTGAACATTGAATCGATACATTGTTGAATGAATAATCGATTTTGTTTATTTGCGGTTTAATTATCGACTCTGTCAGTTGCTCAGACCATATAACATCGATTAATAGGAAATACAAATTTGAATTGGAAAGGATATGGAAGGAAGCGGCCGCTGCCAACTTTTGGATGCACTATCCCGGCACTTGCCTGGAGGGACTGAGGAAACTGTCATGCAGATTGGCTGGTGTCCGGGCCGGGACACCCCGAATACAAAGTAGAATTGCCATCCACTCGATCTCGACGTTTATTTTAGATGTTTTTCGCGCTCTAGCGTGAGCAAAGAGTACTAATTGTTGCAATAATTGAAACAAAGTTGCGTGGCAGTATGTATTGAGGCCATTGTTGGAACACGTTAGTGCAACGGTGGGAACCGAGTTACGATCGAGCTATTTATTAACAGCTTCGTTAAATATACCACAAATAAGGGAACTTATTTTTTTCAAGTTAATACTTAATTACGAATTCGAATTTTATCTTGGTATTTATATGTGAAGTTTTCACAAAGTATTTCGTCACATCCTTCTTTGAGCCTATGTTTAATGGACAAGTAACGCTGAATATCTACTGATGACGTATATTTAACATTGATACAGTAAATTTTCTAATATATTTCATTTCCAGTTTAAACGAAAAGAACGCCATTTTCATTCCCCAAATACAAGGTCGTTTATTCAACTTTATTCAAATAAATGTAATTACTGCATCCCACGCGTTGCACGGCCGACACAAGACTGACAACACCTGTGCACTATTATGTGGGTAGAGAGAGGGAGGGAGAGAGCAAATGTTAATTTCGCTGGGTCTGCGTGAGTTACAAATGTGGAAAATGATCGCAACATTTTCCTGAAAATTGTGACTCGATGGAAAAACAAATTTAGGTGAGATTTCATGTTGTTTCGGATATAATTATAAAATGATGACTGCCTGCTTCTGAAATTTATAAAACAAAATATAAGACATAAATGTTTGCAAATGTTTAATAACAGCAGAGACAACAACAACAATAATGATAAACAGATAGAACCATTCGAAATAATAAACCAGATATTATAATCCGAAACAAAAATGGAAATTGTCTCTTAATTGATATAGCAATATCGATTGACAGGAATGTAATTAAGAAGGAACCGGAGAAGATCTTGAAATACAGAGAATGTGGAAAATGAAAACAAAAATAATCCCAATAATTATAGGAGCAACTGGAACTGTCTCCAGGTCACTCAGAAAATATTTGGCCAACATTCCGGGCGAACACGACATCAGGGAACTCCAGAAAACTGCCATTTTAGGATCTTCATACATCATTCGAAAACGCTGTCGTAAAATATACAGTCATCCCTCACGATAAAACTATATAATAAATGCAAAGAATAGTTACCTAATTAAAGTTACTGTCTTGGTATTTGTCTATAAAATCGATGAAAGATGTCGGTCAGAACACCTATTATCCGGACCGGGACTGTGCCAGTCCGGGTCCGTGGTTCAATTCCCGAACGGACTGAAACTTGAGATGAGGGGTAAACCAGGCTTTGGCATATTAATCTGGTTTATATAAACGAAGGAGTTGTGATTAGATGATACTTGGTACACCTCACTTCATCAAAATTTGAGTTATTTTATTAAATTTTGGCTTTGTCCAATGTATCACATTGGGAAAGAGAGTGGCGCCTTCCTGGCGTGTGAAAGTCTCTTCCCCCCGACATTCTGTCTAGTGACCGTTGGTCTGAGGCGCCCTCGTAGGTGTAGAGTGACGATTGCCAGATAACCGCTGCTTCACTACGACTCGGACCAATGGAATTTGAATGTGGCTGTTCGGCAGGTTTCTGACGTCATAAGTGACTTTTTGGGGGACGAATCGGATTGTCATATTCAATTCAAAATTCAAGAACAGTTGCGTTGCGGGAATATAAAAAGCGAGATTGCGTTGGTACTCGCTCTCAAAAAGTTCGGTTCTTCAAGGCAAGCAGACAGTTTCTGCTTGATTCTTACAATTATAAATACAACAGCCGAATCATCGCGCTGCCCTACAATCAGAATAACTTATTGTACAAAAGTGTCTCGAAAGGAAATAAAAGGTGACTTCGGTGTGGTCTGCAGTTGATCATCCCCACAGATTTCACGTCCTTGGCGCACGGCCGCTCCAACTATCACAGTCCCCGTATATTCCCTGAGAGTCGGAGACTCTTGCTTTCCGACAGAATCCTACATCAATTATTATTCCTTATATCCTTCCGCGTTATCCGAAGTTATATCAAGCTGTAACCGGGCACGCTACTGGGCTTGATCCCGTGGCAACCAGAGTGAGAAGGGCGGTTGCACCTGTAAAGTGGCGAATAGATGGGATAATAATAAAGATAACAACGATAATAGTCACTCCATCTGAGGTCTCCGAGTGTAAACTGATCTCAGAAAACGCATTTTAGCTGTCTGAATCATATTATTCAATGTATCAAATTTCATACGGAAATTTCTGAAGGTTGGATGCTCCCGAAAGCTCAATTTGATGTTCCCCATTCACCTGATGTTGTCAGTGACAAACTGTTCGTGGCAGACCCCCCCTCCACTCTTTGCTTTCTTTAGACACTTTTATATATATCGAATTCCGATATCATACAAAGGCGAATGCTTTCGAAAACGCCACTAGATAGCGTAATCTAAATTCGATATTCCACCTCCTTCGAGGGCTTCCTCACCGACGTTATATATTTTTTTTCATATGAAGTTCAAATGGAGTTATTTATGAGGATTATATATGGCAGGCTCATAGCTGATTCAACCTCACTGATTTATTTGCCACTGTCAATATAGTAAATATATTAAGCCGACAAATACAAATTAAGTTATTGTGGCGTTTATTCCGATGAACAAGACGTAATATTTCTACAGGTGGTGACACATTTTGTGTTTGTGATAGTGTACTGAGTTAGTAATAGAATTTCCATGCATTTCGGTAAGTTTAATGTCGTCCTTTGTAACACGGTGACCCGCCGTCAAATCGCGAATTTAAAATCTCAACAACATTGAAGTATAAAAAAAATATGTAACCCTTATCTATAAGAATGGGCGAATGCGAACATCTTAAAATACTGAGAACCCCCTCCATCAGTGCTGTATTTTGCCAACCCCAGTACCAAAGATCACATGGTTACGGCATCTCTGCTTCTTGTTAGTTCGGTTAACAGCGTCGTCGGCCATGTCTTCCGCGACTTGTCATGAGTCGGGGGATAAATTCACGCCAATCGGCTGAGAACTTCTTCATTCATAGCCTTCGTTTGCTTACACGTTACCAGGACACCAGTATGATTCCTTGCGTTGGAGCAAAATCGGTGAAGATGCACTACACAACTTCGTAACATGTGTTAGAGCAGTGTTTCTCAAGCTGGGTTCCGCTAGAAATCGTGGAATAAACAAATTTTAAAATACCGCGAAATTTCCAAATATCCCTCGAAATATCGCCGGAATTTCTGTCCGACAATTGGCAATACTGGAGTAAAAATACATAGAAGAAGACTCGAAAAATGCATAATTTTCTTTTACAATGTACACTGACTTTTATATGTGTATCATCTCTTTACAGATAAAATCTCGTGACAGTAATTTAGCAGTCATTCAGTTGTGCTCCCCTGCTATTAACTTTATTCTGGCCTGTAAAAGTTTTCATACGTAGGAGTTTTTCGGGAAATGAAAAATTATTTTGGGGGATCCTCCACGGAAAAAATGTTGGGGAGACGCTGTATTAAAGCGATAATTATGTGTACAACCTGCTTCAATGGCCTGTAACTTTGAATTAAACATGAAAATTACCTTAATAGATTTGTTTTTCGGGATTAACAGCGATTCGTTCACTATAAATTAACCAACTGATCTTTTAACGGTGATTAAGTGCTCTTTCTCGGGCCAAGGATCCG